AGTCTCAGAGCCGCCTCGAAGAGCAGAAGAGTCTTAGAGCCGTCTCGAGGAAACGACGGAGTCTCAGAGCCGCCCCGAGGAGCGGTAGAGTCTTAGAGCCGCCTCGAAGTAAAAGAACTACGAGAGCGGCCAACAAAGAGGTCAAGGCGATCTCAACCAGCTTCCTTGAGGAAGCGGCGGAGTATCAGAGCCGCCTCGATGAAGCGACGGAGTCTCAGAGCCGCCTCAAGGTAGCGGAAGAGTCTTAGAGCCGCCTCGAGGAAGCGACGGAGTCTCTGAGCCGCCTCGAAGAGCGGTAGAGTCTTAGAGCCGCCTCGAAGAGCGGTAGAGTCTTAGAGCCGCCTCGAAGCAAAAGAACTACGAGAGAGGCCAACGAAGAGGATCAAGGCGATCCCAACCACTCACTTCAAGGTAGCAGTGGAGTCTCAGAGCTGGCTCGAAGGAAGAGACGCCTCGAAGCAAAAGAACTACGGGAGCGGACAACGAAGAGGATCAAGGCGATCCCAACCACTCGCTTCAAAGTAGCAGTGGAGTCTCAGAGTTGCCTCGATGCAAAAGAACTACGGGAGCGGCCAACGAAGAGGATCAAGGCGATCCCAACCACTCGCTTCAAGGTAGCGGTGGAGTCTCAGAGCTACCTCGAAGGAAGAGCCGCCTCGAAGCAAAATAACTACGGGAGCGACCAACGAAGAGGGTCAAGGCGATCTCAACTAATCGCTTCAAGGTAGCGGTGTAGTCTCAGAGCTGCCTCGAAGAAAAATATCTACGGGATCGACCAATGAAGGTGGTCAAGGAAATCTCAAACAACCGCTTCAAGGTAGTGCAATAGTCATAGAACCACCTCGAAGGAAGAGAACAATTGGAGCGGCCAACCTTGCAGGATCTTTAGTGTCGGTCATCTAGATGATTGCAGAAGAATTACAAGCCTTAATGGAGAAGACGGTGGCCAAAGTAGCAGCTTGGGCAGCACCGGACATTGTAGCTCAGTATATCAATGCTCAAAACACAACTGACTTTGAAGAAACTATTCATATGGGAAGCGATCCTACGGATTTCGTGCATGTCCGTACCACTCCGCCAATCTTGGAGCTCCATGTCTCAGAGTAAAGAGTATCGCTCAAGGGCCAAAGTTATTCCTCCGAACAGGCTCCTCGAAGAAATGCTCACCACCACCCGCCTCAGCGTAGCACATCCTCAGACCGCGCGCCTCGAAGATATGCTCACCACCACTCGCCTCAGCGTAGCACATCCTCAGACCGCGCGCCTTGAAGATACGCTCACCACCACTCGCCTCAGCATTGCACATCCTCAGAAGGCGCGTTCGCCGCCACTCGCCTCAGCGTAGCACATCCTCACACCGCGTGCCTCGAAGGGAAACTCGTCGCTAATCACAGTGTCCACTAAGGCAAAGAGCGTGAGCCCCTTAAAGGGAAAGCGACGCAAAGCCGTCGGACGAGAAACGGTTATTCCCGGTCGTATGACTATCGTCAAAGGCCTCGAGGCGGGGGACACCGGGAACATGCGCACCCCCACTAAAACTCCCCTCGAAACCAACTCGGAAGTAGAGCTTCCCGACACCAGGAGACAAGAAGGCGTCGAGCAGGCTCCGACGACTGCAACTCAAGGAGTCCTCGACGAGAAGTCTCGAGGTCGACGGCCGCTCACTTTGTGGCATTGTCCATTCGAAATACCCATTTGTTCATGCTATTATGGAAGAAGTGTTGCTTCTCGGATTCAGGATCCCAATATCTCCCAATTCGACAAAATTGGGGATCCCCGAGATCACTTGAATAATTTTTACGCCAAGATTGACCTCTACGGTCTTAGTAACGCAGCTCACTGCAAGATTTTTCGGACCACCAAGTTGATCAGGTATAAGTGGTTCAACGGCTTGCTCGGATCCTCCATAGACAATATGGACCAACTAGCGACGATTTTCCGTCACCAATACTCTATAAGCAAGAAATACGCCAAAACTGGTCGTATCTCTTCCAGGTCATACAGCGGGACGGAGAGTCGCTCATGAATTACCTACAACGACTTGTCAAAGCAGTACATGAAGTGCCGTTCCTTAATCACGAAATGTTAACCGGCATACTTCAATACAATTTGAAGCATGTTCGTTTTCAAGAGTACATCGCAGGCCGACCCCTTATGACCCTAGAGGAGCTCCTGAATCGCACTGAGAAGTACATTCAGACTGAGGAGACTGCAGAAATGAGGGTAGTCCTTAAGCAAAAGCACAATGAGGGAATCCACAACTATAATAGAAAAGAAGAGAGACGTCCCGCCAAAAATCGCACCTTCGAGAAGTTCTCACCTCTCAAGGATAAGCTTGTTGACATAATGATCATCATAGAACATAAATGAATTCTACAACCACCGAGATGGATGAAGGAGAATCCAGAACAACAAAATTTGGATGATTACTGTGAATACCACAGAGATCGGGGTCACACTACTGAGGAGTGTTCTCAGCTTATGCGAGCGCTCAGAAGACTTGTCCACAACGGGCACTTGAGAGAATTCCTAGAACAATCGCAATCCTGAAGAAATACTTTACTTAGTATTTACTATTGCCCCACGCGGGCCCCATGTAACTTATTTTCAGCAATAAGTCGGCGGCATACCGCCCCGCACAATATTTTCAAGGCATACCGCCAGCATGATTCTTAATAAACTATTTTAGTCGGTGGGATACCGCCACCATAATTTCTACATCAACCATTTATCTTCTCTACTCATTCTCGTTCGAGGCATCTACAATCGATTTAACAAAAAATCAATTGACTCAAAAAATAGCTAAAGGGAAGATATCAAGGATCACAAAGGGGTCTGGCCAACCCGAACCTTGGTTTCTCGCTCCCCAAAACTCCAAAAAATAGAGCAACTAAAGCTCATGGAAGTCTTACCCGCCTCAAAAAACTTAGGTAAACGGGCAGACTTCCTGCATAAAAAACTTGAGGGTCTGATCAACCACCAAGTGCAAAAATACGGACTTCCCACTAGGCGATATAGCCAGGGGATACCGTCTCACCAAAAAAGATGAAGCATAACTCATTTTTTACAAAAATTCGGACTTCCCACTAGGCGTTAAAGCCAAGGGATACCGTCTTACCTAAAAAGTTAAAATAAAAACTTATTCTTTACGAGAGCCGAGCTTCCCACTAGGCGATATAGCCAAGGGATACCGTCTCACCGAAAAAAATGAAGCATAACTCATTCTTTACGAAATGCGTGCTTCCCAGCAGGCAATAAAGCCAAGGGATTTCGCCCCGCTAAAAAGATAAAGTAAAGCTCATTCTTTACGAGAGACGGACCCCACATTAGGCTATATAGCCAAGGGATACCGTCTCGCAGGATAAGTTGAAACATAACTCATTCTTTAGGAAATGCGCGATTCTCATTAGGCAACAAAGCCAAGGGATATGACAACTTCCTTCAATAATTTTGGCGACTGATCGCCGCCGTACAACAAATGGGCCTCCCTTCAAAAATTATAATCACCTAACTGCAGCGCCCGCCTCTGCAAGATCCCGGTAGCCGACATCAAAATTTCCTACGACCTTGAAACTCAAGGAAAACAAGAAAATTATTTCGTCTTCGAGCGACTATTTCTAGTTACTCCCAGCCAGACCCACGGGCCCGTGGCTCAACCTGGAAGTGGGGGGCTTAATGATGTGCCTAATTGGGCTTTAACCCAAAAAGCCCATGAGGCTCATTCAAAGGAAAAGTCCAACACAAAGGCACTTAATTAAGAACCTAATAAGAAGCTATGGGAAGAAATCTAATGTTTTTGTCCCTTCGACTACCTCGGACGCGTGGCAAAGAC